CTCTAGCTTGGTGGCGGACTTCTCGTCAGCATAGGGCTCAGGGGTCCCTGAGGACTCTGTGACGCGGGAGCTCTTCCCCTCTTTGTGGGGGATGGCTGCAGAGGACAGGTCCCGTGCTTTGGGCTGCACCCAGCAGTGGCTGAGGATTTCGTCAATGTGCAGCCGCCGGTTGATGTCGGGCTGGACCATGCAGTAGATGAGGTCCTTGCACTCGCCCGTCAGGTTCTTGGAGCGTGGGAAGTCCACGCGATGCTCCTTCTGGATGCGCAGCATCTTCTTGATGTCGAAGTCATCGCAGGGCATGAAGTCACAGACCATTATGTAGAGGATTACACCCAGGCTCCAGATGTCGTACGCCTTGGGCTGGTAGGGGATGCCCTGCAGCACCTTGGGGGCCGCGTACACTGCCCAGTGTCGTCCCGCAGGCAGCGCTTGGAAAAGCTAAAGTCAGACAGCTTGATGTTGAAGTCCTTGTCGAGGAGAAGGTCCTCACACTTAAGGTCACGGTGGACGACATCCAGGTCGTGGCAGTACTTGATGGCCGAGGAGATGGCCGAAGAGAGCTGCTGGAACATCTTTCGAGCATTGTCCTCTCACAGGGCTCCCCAGGTTTTGATGAACTCAAGGAGGTCGCCCTGGGCCCCAAGCTCCATGACGATGTAGACCTTGCCATCTGATGTCTCGAAGATCTTGTAGGTCTTGATGATGGAGGGGTGGTTTAGCATCACCAGAATTTCAATTTCCCGGAGAAGGAATTTCTCCAAGAAGTCCGTGGAGGTTTTCTTGCAGTCGATGATCTTGACTGCTACGTTGAACTTCAGGCGCTCAGAGTAAGCAGATTTTAGTTTTGCGTACGAGCCCTCTCCCAAAGTTGTCCCCATGATGTAGCCTTGTCGCTTGAGGACAGCAGCGTCATCCATGGTACCGGGAGTGCCCAGTGCCTCTGAGGCTGCCCTCTACATCCCTGTGGGACATGGGCCAGCGGCGTCCTCATTGACACTGTGGACACAGTGTCCTCTAGGCTGGCCGGGCCTGCTGTCCCTGCCTCCTAGAGGCCAAGACTCTGGGGTGGAACATTCAGCATTGTATCCCAGGTGACTTCAGTGGGTGAAGTCACAAAGGAAGAGTGCCCTAGGGGAATGAGGCTCTGGCCTCAGCTGCTTGGACTTGGAACCCTGGAAGGCTGGCCAGTGGGCTAGAGCAGACTAAGGACGATAGAGAGTGGCCTTGCGCTTGGCTGGGACCTGAGGTCGGAGGGGCTGTGGGGGACATGTTGGTAATTCTTGCAAACCAGGGCATTTCAGGAAATCCAGGAGGTGGTCCCAACAGGAAACAGAAGACACACTCAATTTAGGATAATTTGAGAAGGGTTTAATAAAGTCAGGATTAACACAGAGTATAGGGAACCCCAAGGGTAGTGCAGGTGCCCAAGTAACAGACCCCTGAACCACACGGAAGAGAGAGGTGATAGTCACTGGAATCTTGAGAAAGGCTGTGACTTTTGGTGGAGGGAAACCCAGACCACAATAACCCCAGAGGCTGGCAGGGGGTGAGGGGACATCCCTAACCTCTTTTCCCTTCTTCCAGCCCCTGACACTGTGCTCGGAGGCAGCCTGCAGGGGCGCAGAGCAGGGCCAACAAGGTTGGAGGTGCATTGGAAGGGTAAAGACTCCTGGCCCAGCAGCCGCTGTAGTTTGGGGAGCCCAGAATCTGCCCTCTCTGTGTGGAGTTTGGCTACACTTTTCACCTCCCTGTACTTCTTTCCTCATCTGAACTTTGGCTGGCCTGTGTCTCTTACAGTGGCTCTGTGGGGGCACAAGCGCAGGAATTCTGCTCTTGCTGTGAGTTCCCTCATGGCTCTGGCTGGGCTCCCAAGGCAGATCTGGGGCTGGGGGGCAGAAGTCTGGGCCCAGATACCCCTCTGAGCACTGGCAGCTGCTCCTGGGAATGCTCCGGGAGGACAGGACAAGTGGCAAGGGGCAGCAGTGGACAGTGACCGGTTTCTGTGGGCAGTGGGGCTGCTCTGCTGCGACAGGCTCTGGTCCAACACTTGCTCCCGGCCACACCCTGGGGCAGCAGGAGTCACAGGCCTGGCCTAGCTTTGGGTTTGACTTTGGCCTTATCCACCTTGAGGGGGTGAGCGCCCCTCCCTCACACCACCCAGGCATCACAGGCTGGGTTCCTGGACCCTCAGGAGGGAGGCTGTCCTGTTCAGGAGTCGGTCTGTGGGGCTGGAGGTCCTACGAGCCCTGGCCCTCCCCATTTCTCTGCTCCTAGACTTCACCTTCTTCCCCAGCTCTGACTGCCCACCGCCAGGCCTGGGTGTGCTGCTGATGGTTCTTCCTCTGGACAGCTTGCTTCTCCCCCCTGCTGAGGACGTTCTGTCTCCCCTCCCACTTCACCCTACTGTGATGACAGGTGCCAGGTGGGTACTTGGAGCCTCGTTCCCCGGGGTCACTTAGCCTCATCTCCGTTCCCTGCAGATGTGGCCTTTCCCCTCCTCCCCACTGTGCAGGCAGGTCCTTCCTGGGGGGGGGGGCGGGAG